AAATCATCGTTTCTCAACAAACCCGGTTCTGTTTAAACACAGAAAACTCTGCTGGAAAACTGTTCCAAGCATCAATCAGGCATTTCTGAACATAACTCACAGTAGAACCATCAGGGTTTGTCTTTGTGCTGTTATCAAACCCCACGGACCGAACTCACCCACTCACCCCCTCGCTCACTCGCCCCTCGCCCACACCTGCCCACTCCCCACACCTGCCCGAGCAGTGTGTCTCGGGCCGTGGAAAGACACTGTGGAGCTGAAGTATCGTCACATGAACTCATCATGTTTCAGTAAATGTGGAAAATCACAAAAACAGCGTCAGTGTGAAACTCGGAGCTGAGACCAGCAGGAGGAAAAAACACTCTGACTTTATGAACTGTGTAAAGATAATGTGAACTGTAATCAAAGCCTCTGTCAGCGACACACAACACACACACACACAACACACACAACACACACACACACACACAACACACACACACAACACACACACACACACACAACACACACACACAACACACACACACACACAACCTCTGTCCAGGCTGCAGGAGCCAGGGCTGTAAAATCAGAGTGAAATCTTTGTAATCACAAGTGAGAAAGTGTTCAGCACTCAGACTCAGAGGAGCTGGAGGAGTTGGTGGAGGAGGAGGAGGAGGAGGAGGTGGAGGTGGAGGAGGAGGTGGAGAGGAGGTGGAGGTGGAGGAGGAGGTGGAGGAGGAGGTGGAGGAGGAGGAGGTGGAGGAGGAGGTGGAGGAGGTGGAGGAGGTGGTGGAGGAGGAGGTGGAGGAGGTGGAGGAGGTGGAGGAGGTGGAGGTGGAGGAGGTGGAGGAGGAGGTGGAGGAGGAGGAGGAGGAGGTGGAGGAGGTGGAGGAGGAGGAGGTGGAGGAGGAGGTGGAGGAGGTGGAGGAGGTGGAGGAGGAGGAGGAGGTGGAGGAGGAGGTGGAGGAGGTGGAGGTGGAGGAGGAGGTGGAGGAGGAGGTGGAGGAGGAGGTGGAGGTGGAGGAGGTGGAGGAGGAGGAGGTGGAGGAGGTGGAGGAGGTGGAGGAGGAGGAGGTGGAGTGGAGGAGGAGGTGGAGGAGGAGGAGGTGGTGGAGGTGGAGGAGGTGGAGGAGGTGGAGGTGGAGGAGGAGAGGTGGAGGTGGAGGAGGAGGTGGAGGAGGAGGAGGAGGAGGTGGAGTGGAGGAGGTGGAGGAGGTGGTGGAGGAGTGTGGAGGTGGTGGAGGTGGAGGAGGTGGAGGTGGAGGAGGTGGAGGAGGTGGAGGAGGAGGTGGAGGTGGAGGTGGAGGTGGGGCTGGAGGTCCTGGAGGGGCTCCTCAGAATCCGTGCGCCTGTGGCGGTTGTTGAAACTCTGACTGTGGTGAACTTCCTTGTGCAGCTCTTATCTGATCCACTGTGACAGACTCCTGCTGTTTAGTAACGAACTGATTCACTTTTTCAAAGTCTCGACGGCTCCAAAGGAGCAAACGTCCAGTTTCATTAGAAGAACAAAAAGAACAAAAAAGAGTCTCAGTGTGAGTCTCCTGCAGCCCGACGTCTGCACAGCCACAAGACCAAAACAAGACCCCGGCCCGGGCCCCAGACCAGACCCAGACCAGCCCCAGACCAGCCCCAGACCAGCCCCAGACCGGCCCCAACCCGGGACCCAACCCGGGACCCAACCCGGGCCCCAGACCAGAGCCCGGTCTGACCCGAGGTTCGGTTCTGGGGCCTCTCTGTGGTGGTTCTGGGGCCTCTCTGTGGTGGTTCTTGTGTGCAGGAGGGTTTTCCTCGGTACTTTGATCATGATTAAATTTGAATGACACTAAATAAATAATCCTGGAGTGACATACTTCTAGAGAAGATCTGTTGATGTGAGTAACAAAACCATAAACGTTTCCAGCGCAGTTGGATGAGGAAACATTATCATGTTGTAAATCCATAAAGTGACAGTGAAGCTCAAGGACACGAGCGGGCGGGTAGTTTTTACATGTGACCACAGGAGAAACAGAAAATATTGTGGAGGCCAAAATACTGAACTCAAATCTGCAGAATATTTCTTTATAAAAACCAGTAAATCTCTTTGTTGTGATGCTGCTCAGACTGAAGAGTTTATGTTCTGACAAAGCAATGAAAAAATGAATCTGCCGAACAAAAAATGTCATTAAAAAACATCTTTAAAATGAAAGAAATGCAGCTTTAGTCCAGACATGAGGTCAAACTACAAAATATGTTTATTTTGTAAATTCCAAATGATCTTAAACGAGCCGGTCGACGACAATCTCCAGGCAAACCTGTTCATTTTGTCTTCTTATGTACTTTAACTTCTTGGATTCTTTTTAAAGACATAAAAACAAGGATAAACCACCTGTCACACCTGTCACACCTGTCACACCTGTCACACCTGTCACACCTGTCCTGAAGATGACTTGCAGTTTGCAGCTGAAACATGTCAACAAGGTAAAGACATTTTACTGTATTGTCTTTAAAAGAACCCAAGAAGTTAATGGACAATCTCCAGGTCTGATAAAAGATCAAGGTTGAGATAAACCACCAGGACTAACAGGGGCGAACAGAAGCCGCCTTATCTCTCCAGGAAACTCTGGGACCACCTGAGTTCACCCCTGCCCAGAAACACAGCCCCATAAAGCCCCATAAAGTCCCACCTTTTTAAGCACGAACCGTATGAAGGTCCTGAAAGTTCAGAGTCACTGCAGGCCTGTGCTCAGTCTGTGTCTCCTCGGTTTCTTTACACTTATAGAGAAACCAATCAAAGGTAACGATCTCCATTTTAAACCCTGAGCTTGTCCTAGAACAGAGAAAAGTCCCGCACACCGTCTTACTGGCAAATTATGAGATTTATTAGGACAACCGTTTGTCGTAATAAATAAATAAATAATTGTAAGTAAGACGGTGTGTGTGACTTTTCTTCCTGTTCTCGGTCGCCCCGTCTCCTCCAACGCACCGTCTCAAGTAACTGATGTGCGAAGTTCTTTCTTTTAAACCCTGAGCTCAACCACCTGATATGAGCCATGATTTATTTGATATAATATCATCTGAAAACAGCTCTGCGGCAGGAGCGCACCTGCCAAATGACCCATGCACACCCTCTGTACTGTATTTGACTGTAAATACGACCACGCAAAACACAGTCCAGATAAGAATACTAATAAACCCGTGACTTTTCCCGACGGTGCAAAGATGATATCAGACACACACGGTCCAATGATCCACACAAACTCAGATTTCGATCATTTATTGTGGCACTGTGGCCCCCGATATTAATATTGCTTACATGTTTACAACTTAAATTAAAGTATAAAGTCTACAGTCGGTTTTCTTCCACGTAAATGACATTTGGATGCAGGTAGAGGGCGCTGGTGATGACACGACCCCAGAGGAAAAGCACCTGGACCAGTGCGATGGAAATGTATATTATGGAAAGATTTCAATGTGATTTCCACTTTATCCAGAGCAAATTTAACACGTGTAAAGGCTCAGGAGACACAAACATCTCCACCCACAGGAAACTGAGTCCTACCTGTCCTCAAAAAGAAGTGAAGTTGATTAAATGTTTGACAATCTGTGAAACAAAAGTGCCTCTGCGTTCATTTGTAGGTCACTTGTCTTTCTATAAATACTGCGAGCTCAGACTCTGGCCGCTGCGTATCTGCTGCGACGAGAATAAACCTTGGTCTGCATTTCAAAAACTCACCGGGCTTCGTAAAAGGATTAATTATTTATCATCAACAGATACGTAACAACACTTATGTAATGACCCGGGGTTTATCTCCGACTTTATAGTGTGGGAGGTTCACGCGCCGTAGTGACTCTGTGTGTGTGTGTGTGTGTGTGTGTGTGTGTGTGTGTGTGTGTGTGTGTGTGTGTGTGTGTGTGGTGTGTGTGTGTGTGTGTGTGTGTGTGTGTGTGTGTGTGTGTGTGTGTGTGTGTGTGTGTGTGTGTGTGTGTGTGTGTGTGTGTGTGTGTGTGTGTGTGTGTGTGTGTGTGTGTGTGTGTGTGTGTGTGTGTGTGTGTGTGTGTGTGTGTGTGTGTGTGTGTGTGTGTGTGTGTGTGTGTGTGTGTCGTGTGTGTGTGTGTGTGTGGGTGTGTGTGCGTGTGCGGGTCGACGCTCAGGTCTGTGCAGAATCTCAGGTCATGACTTAAAGGTTGTATGGAGGATTTTTTTTTGTTTCAAATTGTCAATGAAAGTTTAAAATACCCTTACAGAAATGCAGCAGCCTTGGAATTATGTCGATTAAAGAAAAAAGTAATGAAAATCTGTCATCTGTGGACATAATGAGGGCAGATAAACATCAGCCAATAGATAACAAGGCTACCTCATTTTCTATTGGCTGTTAGGTTGTCAAACTCCCTGCTTTTCTAGTGTAACTGATGCGCAGGGATTATGTGGTTTATGCAGCAGTTCTTAGAGGCTTTTTTAAACTGTAGTTTCCTCGCAGTTCGCACAAAGTTTGTTGAGATGATGGACAAAAATCCAGGACCAGTTCGCCACAAACAAAAGTCCGTTTTTGATGTCGCTGAAAGAAGAAGAGAAGAAGAAAACGAGCAAAGCCAAACACGTGATTCTTGGAGGTTTCTTCCAGCGATTGCGCGAATGAAGCAAAGAGTCTAAAAACTGACGCGTCGGTCACTAAATTCTTTCTAGTCGAGTCACTTCAGCAGTAATTCTGAACACGTGCTGGATGTAAACAAGCCTGATTTCTAGAGTAAAGAGGCGGGAGGAGATGTTTCTACTGAGGAGCTGTGGAAAATCCTCTGTACAACCTTTAAGATGAACGGAGTTTAAATCAAGAAAAAACTAAATAAAACAAAAAAACAAAAAAACTAGTGTGATGATAAGACATTTTCAAACTTAAATTCAATACAAAGAAAAGGTCTGGATACTCAACACAGAGTCTGATTAGAGCACAGAAACCCGACCAAAGTCCAGCAGGCTCAGACTTTCCACACAAGATCCTCCGTGTGTCATTAGGCTGATGAAAATAGTGTGATTTTATTTGTGTCGGGTTTGGACGGACTCGGACACAAATATATTATTGCCCATCGGGGTTTGGGTTCAAACGAGGGACGGTCTTGGACAAAAAAATAAATAAATTGGCCTGATCCACACTCTAATTCCAATACCACATGCAAATAAAAAAAAACAACACCACTGTGATATAGGGATGGGCAGGATTAGTCGATTAATCAATAATTGATCATTAAGAATTTCATCGATTACGTTAATCGATGAAATTCTTCTAGTGTTTTCTGATTCTTCACCTACAGCCAGAGAGAAATGAAACTGAGCAGAGGCACTGGGTGACACCCGCCTGGATGCAGCTCATCTCTGTGGACGTTCTCAATGTGTTTTTTCAGTTGATTCATAAAATCAGACTTTCCACACAAACAATATCCTCCGTGTGTCATTAGATCGATGAAAATAGTGATTTTAATTGTGTCGGTTTCGGTCGGACTCGGACACAAATATCACAAATATCTAAAATATATCACAAACTATTGATGTCTGTCGGACTCGGTTTGGACTTGTACAGGTCTTGGACAGAATAATCGACCCGATCCAAACTCGATATCACATAATCATTTGTGAGGCCAGAGCAGTTTGTCAGAGTCTGGTCCTGTCAGGTCTCAGGAGCTCTGCAGGGTCCAGTCGGGTCTGGGCAGGACTGGAAAAACCAGGAGCCACAGGAGGCGCCAGAGCAAAAACTGTCGTTGTGTCATTAGGCAAGACACTTCACCCACATTGATATGAAAGTGTTGTGTGTGTGTGAGATGGTGCAGCATCTTTAAGTGTCCAGAAAAGCGCTGTATAAAACTGATGCATTATTATTATTATTATTATTATTATTATTAATATCTCTCTATGTCTGTGGGACCAGGGGCCGGTTTCGGACAGAAAAAAATCAGCCTGATCTACACTTTAATTCCAATACCACATGATAATTTAAAAAACACTTTATCGTTAGAATAGAATGTGATTTTTAACATTAAATTATTGTACTTTTTTCCTGTGCTTGTTTTAGTATCAATTAGTTAAAAAAAACTTATAAAAAACAGAAAAGATCCTGGTTCGTTTTTAGGTTTAGTGCTGTTAAATGTGTTTAAAAACACACGAAACGACTGGATCAAGGTTTTACCAGGACTTTAAACAAAAACTGGCATGCTAAGGTGCGCTTCCTGATTATCGGACAACAATCGGCTTTATAATCAGACGCAGGCAGCACACGGCCTCAGGACCTTTAAATATGATTCAACCTTTTTATACCATTTTAATATTGTAGATTAAAGAAACAAAACGTCTGATAGTTTCATTTTAAATCCCACCAAAAGCTTCAAGTTTCTCCTTTCAAACGGGAGTCCAGTCGGGTCGGGGGGTTTCAGAGTCTGACAGGTTCTGAGGTGGTTCTGAGGTGTTACAGTGCAGGGTCTGGTAGAACCTCCTCGTGATCCTCCTCCACCACAGGAGCCTCCGAGTCCGTCTCACTGCTCTGCTCCTCCTCGTCCTCGTCTTCCTCCTCCTCACGCTGGTCCACGGACGCACGGCCCGGGGAGCACGTCTCCTCTGTGCCTGGAAAAGAAAAGAACATTTAGTATCTAACGAAAACTGTTGCAGCTAAATCCCACGTAGAGCGATGAGAAATCCAGAGAAAGAAAGCGGCGCGTAAACAAATCCAAGGCTGTATTTTCCAGACTATAAGGCTACGTTCACACTGCACCTGAAGTTTCCCAAATCTGATTTTTTGTCTCTATGTTCCTGTATCTGATCTTTTAATGTCTGAACCACACAGATCTGATGTTTTCACATGTGACCAGGACACTTGGATCTGTGCTCCTGAAACTGATCCATATCTGATCTTTAACATGTGACTTGAGTGTGAACAGTCAGGTCACATTCATCCACCTACACGTCATCAACAAGACACAAACGTCACTATTCTGCACTGAAGTAGAGAAAACTGTCTTGGCATCCGATCTCCATGTGACTGAAGTGAAGCACATCTCAACAGACTGAACCACAAAACACCACCACCAAAAACCTGGTCCTTCTCCTTCTCAATCTCCTCCTTAAAACAAGTCAGTTGTTCATGTTGTGGCTCCGGTACGAGAGGAACTTTAAAATCTCCAGGTGCTCGATGCTGCGTCCATGTTTGTTCAACTTGTGTAAACACAGAGACGCTCGCTGCGGTTGACGTCGTCGTGTCTCCAGTGTCACATGTGGGACACTTTTGGACCGTTTAATGTTCACACTGGAGTCACATACAAGTCACATTTAACTGGAAATGTGAACGACCTCAAAAAACATCGGATTTCACAAAAAAAATCTGAATTGAGCGTTAAGCCTGCAGACTGAACGGAGACTTAGTTGCACTTTTGGGGGGAAATGTATTTTATAAAATGAGAGATCAGGAGCCGACATTTCCTGTGTAAAGTGAAGTTGTAGTAAAAACACTAGAAGAGAGAAGAACAGACTGTTAACACTGTCACATATTTCACAGTTCTTCAGATAAACTATAAACAACAGAACAGAACAAGTTTAACCAAACTCTCCATCTCACTCCAAATCAATAAATCACTTCAGTTCTTCATCCTCGGCGTCACTTCTGAACAACTCGACCTCGACCTCCGGAGGGAAACAGAGCGACGCAAACTCTTCTGTGTCGCTGTCGTCAGACTCAGACTCAGTTCCAGTTATTTCCAAATCTCTCGGTGTGATATTGATTGTGATATTTTGAAGAGGTTAATATAATTGGAGATGTGACCCTTTTTGCTTTTAAAACACCCTGACAAGATTTTGGTGTGAATTATTTCCGTCATAATCCCAAGAATTCAATTACAGTATTTTCCGCACTATTAGTCTCTCTGGATTATAAGACACACTGTCATTAAATGGTCTATTTTTGAACTTTTTTCACAAATAAACCGCGTTGGACTTTAAATGAAACCCAACAGTGTGATGGGTGAGTGGTTTTGTTTGTTTGTTCGTTCACGGTGACTCTGGGCTTTGTTCAGTTGTGGCGTGTAGGGAGGGTGTGTCTGGGACCAGCAGATTGTCGGCGTGTTCGCAGTGACTCAGTTGTTCAGTCGTGTCTAGAAGCGGCACGTTGCGTTTGATTTTTCGGTTCATTCCTCCGCTCCGCTCCTCGTCGGCGTGGAGTGATGAGTGTGTCTGTGTGTCTGTGGGTGTTTATCGCTGTGTGGTCTTTGTCTGCTCCGTGTGTGTTTGTGTGCGCAGCAGGTGGTGCGGCTTTGTAGTTTACTGAAGTCGTGCTGGGACACCCGAGTGGATTCGTGTATGGGCGCTCTGGATTGTGCGGCGTGCGGTCGTTTTTTGATGCGGTTGGAGGTTTAAGAGCGCGACTAATAACCCGGAAAATACGGTAACTGATGAAATAAGGAGACAACACAGACGCAGGTGAAAACAAGACTGCAGAAAGTGAGAAGAAAAAAGGAAGGACAGATCAGATGTGGACGACTCTTGGACCCAGAGCTCGTTCATGGAAACACAGGTCGTCATTTACCCAAACGGTGCTTGAGCACTTCCACCCGCCCTGAGTGTCGTGAGTTTAGACCCACCTGACCCCAGCGAGGTCCTGGAGCTCAGGTCTGCGCTGGGGGAGCTCAGGTCTGCGCTGGGGGAGCTCAGGTCCGCACAGGGGGAGCTCAGGTCTTCACTGGAGGAGTTGAGGAACTCGTCGAGAGCCTGAAGGTCTGAGGTGTTGGTCACAGTGATGTGGTCCAGCTCTGAAACATCAGCGGGCGCCGCTTCTGCAGAACAGGACTCAGGTCAGAGAGAAACTCACACTGACCCAAAGACAACACACAAGTGTGACCCAAGTGTGACCCAAGTGTGACCCAAGTGTGACCCAAGTGTGTGTGCTCTAGGGCTGCGTCCAAACTGATCCATCTCAGTTTCTGATTTGATCTTCTTCCACCTGATTAAAAACAGACAGGTGGACTTCAGGGTGTCAGAATCAGTTTTTATTTTGTGTTGACTGGATCAATATTTTTGGAGTAATCCACATTTAAAGTTTGGAATAAAACTGTACAACATATTGAGCCTAAAATCATGTGTGCGTCACCCTGTGTGTAGAAACATGTGTCATGTCCGTGCAGGAGACGTTACGAGTGTCAGAGTCACTTCTGTCTGTGCAGAATCAAGAACAGGATAATACCACATGTTTAATGTGCAGCGTCCGTGTGGTGATGGTTCAGTGAGGTGGAGGTGGTGTGTGGTGCAGGTGGTGTTGTGTGCAGGGTGGTGTTGTTGGTGTTGGTGCAGGTGCTGGTGTGGTGTTGTGCTTGGTGTGGTGGTGTTGGTGTGGTGTGGTGGTGTTGGTGCTGGTGTTGGTGTGGTGGTGCTGGTGTTGGTGCTGTGTGGTGTTGGTGCTGGTGTTGGTGCTGGTGTTGGTGCTGGTGTTGGTGCTGGTGTTGGTGCTGGTGCTGGTGTTGGTGCTGGTGTTGAGGTGTTGGTGCAGGTGTTGGTGTTGGTGTTGGTGCTGGTGTTGGTGCTGGTGTTGGTGTTGGTGTGGTGCTGGTGTGTGGTGCTGGTGTTGGTGCTGGTGTTGGTGGTGGTGCTGGTGTTGGTGGTGTTGGTGCTGGTGTTGGTGTGTGGTGGTGCTGGTGAGGTGTTGGTGTGTTGGTGGGTGTTGGTGCAGGTGGTGCTGGTGTGGTGGTGCTGGTGTTGGTGCTGGTGTTGGTGCTGGTGCTGGTGTTGGTGCTGGTGTTGGTGCTGGTGTTGGTGGGTGTTGGCAGGTGTTGGTGCAGGTGGTGTTGGTGCAGGTGGTGTGTGGTGCTGGTGTGTGGTGCTGGTGTTGGTGTGGTGGTGCAGGTGTTGGTGCAGGTGTTGGTGCTGTGGTGTTGGTGTGGTGGTGCTGGTGGTGCTGGTGTCTGGTGCTGGTGTTGGTTGCTGGTGTTGTGTGGTGGTGTGGTGGTGTGGTGGTGTTGGTGCTGTGGAGCTTCTGGTAGGTGTTGGTGCCTCTGGTGTGTGAGGAAGGTGCCTGAGGTCAGGTGTTGGTATATTTGGTGCTCCAGGTGTCCTGGTGGAAGGCCTCCTCGTACTCCTTCTGCTTCTGCTTCAGCTTCTGCTGCACCCGCTGCTCCATGTGAGACACTTTCAGCGCGTGTTCCGAGTTCAGCTCCACTAAAGAGACGACACACACCTGTCAGTACAACGATATCAAAACTCTCTGTACGATATTTTCACGATATTCATCTCACGGTACAATATTTATTGTGATATTTTGTGGAGGCTAAAACTGTGAATATTCTACTTTTTCCTCTTAAAATTCCTTGACAAAACTTAATCCAAAGAACTGAGAGTTAAAAGTGTTAGAACTGTTATTTCCTCTTGTCGTCTGCACTGAAATGGAGCAAAGGATCATGGTCTATGTAGTTCTTTCTGTTTTTTTTCCACTATTGCTGCACCAGAATTCTTCATTTAAACAAACAGACTTTGTGATTCAATAAATTGTGATCGTTCATGATATTATTGTGAGAACTTTGACGATACGATATCACATTCGATTTCATTACTATTTTTACTATAAATTGACTGTAAACATGTAAAGGTGAAAACAAAAGAATGGAAAAAGTTCATCTGAAGCGACTTACTTTCAAATGTGTGGAGTTCTTTCCTGAAAAAGACAAAATAAAACACAAATCAGTAAAACAAATGAAAAGTGTCATTTTCACAAAACCGATCTCTTAAACAGAACCATGAACGCTCAAACTGATCACAGGGAAAAGAAAACGTCTCTTTAAATCACTTTTCTGTGTTTGTCAGTGTGTGCAGCTGCTCAACATTCCACCATAGACATAGATGTAGATTATCCCCAGTGTAATGTCAATAGAAGGACAATCACTGAAGCAGAAGTAAAAGGGAAGTATTTACAGTTTGGTCATTAAAGTGTTTCCGTGATAATAATACGACTTTATTTGGGACAAAGGCCAAGTTTTATTTTGTCCTTCTGCAAAAAACAAACCGACAAACAACTGCTGCCACCTGCTGGTCGAAAAGTTTAAAACCAAACACGAATCCAACCCAAAAGATCTGAGGTTAAGCGTGAAAATCTTAGAAAATACACGAAAATAAACCTCAGAAACACAGACACTAAAACTAACACGGTGAAGTCTCCTCCTCGTCTCCAAATTTCTCTGATCTGGACAAGATTTTAAAACTTACATCAGGTTCTTCATCAGATTTATTATCGATTTACTCGTTCTGAATTGCTTGTATAATCTTAAAAATGGTCACATATTTTTCTTCCATGACTCAACTCGTCAGCAAATCTTAAATTTAGGCGATAAATGTTTAAAAGAAGAAGCTACAATCTGTTTACCAGAGTTTTTTCCCAGCAACGCTTCACTTGTTTTTAGATTCGGTGACACAGATTTGTTTGATTTATCTCAAACTTTACATCATAAATTTATTTCCAGCCCGTGAACACAGACCACAGACTTTTCATTCTCGTCTAGAGGTCGATTATTTTAAGATAAACTTGTCAAGGAAAATGATCTCGCTGCATGGACACATCGTTTCAGGACTTTTATGTCGTTTTCTGATAGATTTAAGTGTTTCGATCAGGGGTGGGCAAACTACGGCCCGGGGTCCAGATGCGGCCCTTTATTCTTTTTAATCCAGCTCACAAAACTTGAAATATAATAATAATTTTCAGTGTTTCAAAAGTAATTTCAATAAATAGTAAATACCGTGGGATTTGAAAGAAGATATTTTATTTTTTGGGATATTTCAATAAAAATGGAATGTGTTTTTTACACATCCCATGTTATTTTTTTTCTCTTAGGAGGTGAATTACCAAAAAACTCCCTCCGTCTGCTCCTGGTCTGGTCCTTCCGTCAAATTTTAAAACCCTTTGTGGCCCACGAGTCAAAAAGTTTGCCCACCCGATTTAGATCTTACATTTCTATCATACATCAGAACAGCCGAAAGTGTCTCACTGTAGGTCTGTGGAACTTCTGTTTAATGGTTTTCTGTGTAAATGTGTGTGTAAATGTGTGTGTAAATGTGTGTGTAAATGTGTGTGTGTAAATGTGTGTCGTTTTCTCCAGCAGTTTCATAAATCTGCTCCATCACCAAATCTTCAACCAACAAACTCCACAAAGGAGAAACATTCTTCATGAACAATTTATCCACAAATATCAAGAGAAGAAAGAACAAAACTTAAAGAAACAACGAGACACATGAGTCACACAACAAACTCAACTCATGTTCTGATCCTGGAGATTCAAACATTCAAACTGCACAAATCTCTGTGTCTGTGTGAAGATCCACATCATGAAACTGATTTTTCATTATAATAATAGAACGAGTCTGAGTGAACAAGTTCCTTCTGTTTTCTTCAGGATCAGAACATGAGTTGAGTTTGTTGTGTGACTCATGTGTCTCGTTGTTTCCTTTAAGTTTTGTTCTTTCTTCTCTTGATCGTTGTGGAGAAATTGTGTTTCTGGTTGGTGGAGTTTGTGGTCAGCAGGGGGCGCTCTGTCTCTGTACCTCTTCTTCTGCTTGTAGCTCTCGAGTTCCTTCAGGTGATGCTGTTTGATGGTTTGTTGTTCACACTGACAGCAAAGAGTCTCCAGATAAACCATCCGGCTCTCCATCTCCTCAAAGTCGCCCTCCAACTGAGCTGAGGACGAAGAAGAGCAGAGGGTTAATCCAGAGGAGACACAGTGAGGACAGAGGAGACAACGAGAAGACAGAGGAGACAACGAGAGGACAGAGGAGACACAGCGAGAGGACAGAGGAGACACAGCGAGGAGACAGGAGACACAGCGAGGAGAGAGGAGACAGAGTGAGGACAGAGGAGACACAGTGAGGAGAGAGGAGACACAGCGAGGAGACAGACAGGAGACACAGTGAGGACAGAGGAGACACAGTAAGGAGAGAGGAGACACAGCGAGGACAGAGGAGACACAGCGAGGACAGAGGAGACACAGCGAGGAGAGAGGAGACACAGCAAGGAGAGAGGAGACACAGCAAGGAGAGAGGAGACACAGCAAGGAGCCACAGTGAGGAGACAAAGCGAGGAGCCAGACAAGAGACACAGAGAGGAGACAGGAGACAAAGCGAGGACAGAGGAGACACAGCGAGGAGCCACAGTGAGGAGCCACAGTGAGGAGACATAGCGAGGAGACACAGCGAGGAGACACAGCGAGGAGACACAGTGAGGAGACACAGCGAGGAGCCAGACAAGAGACACAGAGAGGAGACAAGAGACACAGCGAGGAGACACACAGAGTACATAGGAGACACAGCGAGGACATAGGAGACAGAGTGAGGAGACACAGCGAGGAGACAGGAGACACAGCGAGGAGGAGACAGAGTGTTAGTGTGGGTACCCAGGCTGGAGGTGAGGACAGAGGAGACACAGTGAGGACATAGGAGACAGGAGACAGAGTGTTTGTGGTACCCAGGCTGGAGGTGAGGACAGAGGAGACACAGATAGGACATAGGAGACAGGAGACAGAGTGTTTGTCGTACCCAGGCTGGAGGTGAGGACAGAGGAGACACAGAGAGGACAGAGGAGACACAGAGAGGACAGAGGAGACACAGAGAGGACAGAGGAGACACAGTGAGGACAGAGGAGACACAGAGAGGACAGAGGAGACACAGAGAGGACAGAGGAGACACAGAGAGGACAGAGGAGACACAGTGAGGACATAGGAGACAGGAGACAGAGTGTTTGTGGTACCCAGGCTGGAGGTGAGGACAGAGGAGACACAGTGAGGACATAGGAGACAGGAGACAGAGTGTTTGTGGTACCCAGGCTGGAGGTGAGGACAGAGGAGACACAGTGAGGACATAGGAGACAGGAGACAGAGTGTTTGTGGTGGTACCCAGGCTGGAGGTGAGGACAGAGGAGACACAGTGAGGACAGAGGAGACACAGATAGGACATAGGAGACAGGAGACAGAGTGTTTGTGGTACCCAGGCTGGAGGTGAGGACAGAGGAGACACAGTGAGGACATAGGAGACAGGAGACAGAGTGTTTGTGGTACCCAGGCTGGAGGTGAGGACAGAGGAGACACAGTGAGGACATAGGAGACAGGAGACAGAGAGTTTGTGGTACCCAGGCTGGAGGTGATGGTGCCCAGCTCGGTGATGAGGGTGGGCAGACCCTGCAGCTGTTCCTCCAGTTGGGTCAGGGCGCTCCTGCGTTTGTCCCACAGAGCCGAGAGCATCACCACGTCCCCGTCCACCTGCTGGACACCGCGGGAACAGCAGGACAACGATACACGAGACACAAGGGTGAGTCGCTGTACAGTTGTAGGGAGTATTATCTGTCCCTCTATAGTCTGGAGAGCAGTTTGTTTTGTTAAACTGGGGGTATTTTAATTCTGTTTGGTTTTATTAACAATGTGACTATGGTTGAATTACTCATGTGACTAAAACATACTTAAGTTCATTATATTTAAGATTTTACAGAAAACTTTATATTTTTTCCACAAAAATCACAAGGGGGATTCTAGAACCGTGACCTCGCAACCACACTATCAGTTAAACTAAAACTGCTCTAATGTCCACAGAAAGTCTGATTATAAAAAGAAAACACATTTACATTGTTAAAATGATGTGGAAAATATCAGATAAAATGAATTTCTTGTGTAAATTGTGTTGAAATTTTGGGCCAAATTCTCCCTTTGTGATGTCATCGGTGCGAGAAACTCGACTTCCTGCAATTTTTGACAGATTTTTCAACTTTTCTTCACAAATTGCTTCTTGATTGATTGGGGTAAAAGTATAATTTATATTTACAACAAGTTTAATCCAAACAACGTAAAGGTGCATTGTGTAACTTTTCTGGTGGAAGGTCCATCAAATCAACCCAAAAATTCAAATGTCCCGGCTGTAGTTGGTCCTAAAGAGACACGACTCTGACCCAAGAGTCACATTTTTAACAAATCTGCACGAAAAATAACAAAGTCCAGAAACACAGACACACTTTTATTTTAGAAACATTTACAGAGAATCAGGAGAAAAAAAGTGATTTTATTTTGTTTAGTGTTTCTTTAATGTTAAAACTCACATTCTGTTGTCTAAAGAAAGAGTTTTTATTGTGGTTTTGCTCTTTTGTTCTGATCTCTGCAGAAGTTTCATAAACAGCAGGTGTGACATGTGTCGGCTGTTGCCTGGCAACCATCCCACAGAGTAAAAGTCCAGAGTGTCTCTTTACCTGAGCCGCCTGAGCACAGTCCTTGGTTTTCCGGTGCAGTTGGTACCAGCCGTCCTCAAACCTGCACAAACACACAAACACACACGTCCTGAGTCACACAAACACACACACACACACACATGTACTGAGTAGAGCCCGGCCGATATTATCGGCCAAAATGGACACCTGGAGACATATCTGCTATCGGCCGATATTCTTGCTGATATGGGCCGATATTTCACGTGGGCAGGTTATACGTCGTTATAAATCTTAGACTCTCTACATTCTGTTCATTTAATCCAATTTACAGACAGATAAATGTCCAAATATGTGACTCCACATCAGTATTTATCTGTGGAGTCATTTGTGTGTGTGTGTCGTACTGTCCCTGAACACACCACAGAGTCGCGTCACTTCACTCGCGTGTGTTTGTTTACACCTGCAGCCGTGCGCAACACTGAGATTATTTTCTTTTTACGACAATCGGTTTGAGTCTGGATTAAAAGGACATTTATTAGTTCAGACTTGTGATGTGGGAGGAGCCTGTGTGATGTGGGAGGAGCCTGTGTGAGTCTGAGTGTTGGAAATACATCGACTTTGAAGCTAGTTTAGGTTTTGTTAGCGGTTAGCTGCTGTAGCTCCCGCACATAAACAGACTGTTTTCTATTGGTCTGTTGTAAAGTGATTATATTGGCCGTGTATTTGTTACTGAACCTGCACTGATGTAAATGAGCTGTGAATAGACGTGTGAATGATCCACATTTATGCATATAATTAATTACCGCGGTGCGCACGTTTTTACGGCTAAAGGCTAATAGCGATAGTTTATTTACTAGCTAGGAGTTATGGGTCACGATCGAAGCGGCTCTTAGATCCGGCTCTTAGAGCGAACAACGGGAGCATGTTTCTTATTGGGAGCCGTGTTTTCTCTTTTTCTCACTTTTTCTCTTCATGCTGCATGTCGACCCGTAGTTTGACAGCAGCAGCGGCTGAAAACGAAACTTTCAGAAATCTGCATGTGCATAGGATAAAAAAAAGTGCATATTTGGCTGCAGTTCAGCATAAAATGAATAAACCAGGACTAAACTTGGGCTCGAGTGAAGGAGAGAGATAGAAACCGAGTCCCGACACTCAGTCCTGGTTCAGTCCTGGTCCAGTTCTGGTTTAGTCCTGCTTGCAACAAAACAATCAAGAGCCACTTGGGAGCCGAAAGAGCCAGCTGCTTTAGTGAGCCGAGCCAAAAGAGCCGGTTCTCCAAAAAAAAACTGGAATACCCATCACTAGCAGTGACAGTAACAGTGTCTAGAATGTGATGCAAAAATGCCATTAGGCCAAACTACTGTCTGTAAATATGATGTAAAGAGTCAGAATAACAATAAATGTTTCCTAAATAAACCCAATTTAAAATCCACCAGAGCCAAACCTAAGTTTTTTAAACAATTCAAGATTTACAGTGAATTTTTACATCACTAAATATATCGGTGATTATATCGGCAGCTCCAACTCCCATTATATCGGTTTCATATCGGCCACAACAAAATCCATATCGGTCGGGCTCTAGTACTGCGTCACACAAACACACACACACGTCCCGAGGCACACAACACACACACACACACACACACGTACTGAGTCACACAAAACACACACACAGACACTAACACACACACACACACCTGTGCAGTATGTGTAGTCCGGCGCTGAACTGCAGGAGTCGTTCTTCCTGCCTGAACACAAAAAGAAACACACACACACACAAAAACACACACAGACACACACACACACAGACAGACACACACAGACACAGACACACACACACACACACACACACACACACACACACACACACACACACACAGGGGTTAAAGGTCACATGGACAGAGAGTCTTGGGTTTGTGTAAATTCTGGAGTCTCAGTTTCAGTTCAGGCTCCTGGATTCTGTCCTGAGCCGCAGAAGCTGGAGTGTGTGAAATTGTGATTTTTAATTTCATAATTTCATTTTTCGCCTGAATGTCGACAGAGACGAGACAAACGAGGAAATGATTTGGACACAAAAGTCACAGATCACAATAAAATATAAAAACAAAGAGAAAAAATATAAATGGTGATAATAATTTCTAAATCAGAGAGTTTTTCCTCTTTAAACTGTACGAGCGAGTGGACAGATTAATAACAGTTTGACGTTACCTCGGCTTCTTCACCACTTTAGACTCTTTGGACTTTTCCCCCAGAGTCTTGAACCTGCAGAGAAAAAACAAAGTGTGAGAAAAATCTGTGAAACCTGAAGCCCTCATTTTTATATTCATTAAACTGTTTTTTTTATTTTCTTCTTTTTTACTTGATTAATTTATTTTGTCATATTTAACATACACAGAACGAAAAGGTGGAGGACTGAACCAGGACTAAACCAGGACTAAACCAGGTCTAAACCAGATCTAAACTGGGTCTAAACCAGGTCTAAACCAGGAAACCAGGACTAAACCAGGTCTAAACCAGATCTAAACCAGGTCTAAACCAGGTCTAAACCAGAAACCAGGACTAAACCAGGTCTAAAACCAGGACCAAAACCAGGTCTAAACCAGATCTAAACCAGGGTCTAAACCAGGTCTAAACCAGGTCTAAACCAGGACTAAAACAGGCTAAACCAGGAAAAAACCAGGTCTAAACCAGGTCTAAACCAGGTCTAAACCAGTCTAAACCAGACTAAACCAGGTCTAAACCAGGTCTAAACCAGACTAAACCAGGTAAACCAGGTCTAAACCAGGACTAAACCAGGACTAAACCAGGTCTAAACCAGGACTAAACCAGGTCTAAAACCAGGACTAAACCAGGTCTAAACCAGGACTAAACCAGGACTAAACCAGGACTAAACCAGGACTAAACCGGGGTCTAAACCAGGACTAAACCAGGTCTAAAACCAGGTAAACCAGGTCTAAACCAGGTCTAAACCAGGACTAAACCAGGACTAAACCAGGACTAAACCAGGTCTAAACCAGGACTAAACCACCAGGTAAACCAGGTCTAAACCAGGTAAACTCAAACCGGGTCTAAACCGGGTCTAAACCAGGTCTAAACCAGGACTAAACCAGACTAAACCAGGACTAAACCAGGTCTAAACCAGGACTAAACCAGGACTAAACCAGGACTAAAACCAGGTCTCTAAACCAGGACTAAACCAGACTAAACTAAACCAGGTCTAAACCAGGTCTAAACCAAACCAGGTCTAAACCAGGACTAAACCAGGTCTAAACCAGGACTAAACCAGGACTAAACCAGGACTAAACCAGTCTAAACCAGGACTAAACCAGGTCTAAACCAGGTCTAAACCAGGTCTAAACCAGGACTAAACCAGATCTAAACCAGACTAAACCGGACTAACCAGGTCTAAACCCAGGACTAAACCAGGACTAAACCAGGACTAAACCAGGACTGGAAACCAGGACTAAACCAGGACTAAACCAGGACTAAACCAGGACTAAACCAGGACTAAACAGGACTAAACCAGGTCTAAACCAGGTCTAAACCAGGGTCTAAACCAGGTCTAAAACCAGGTCTAAACCAGGTCTAACCAGGAAACCAGGACTAAAAACCAGGTCTAAACCAGGACTAAACCAGGTCTAAACCAGGACTAAACCAGGGTCTAAACCAGGTCTAAACCAGGAAACCAGGTCTAAACTAGGTCTAAACCAGGTCTAAACCAGATCTAAACTGGGTCTAAACGTCTAAACCAGGACTAAACCAGGTCTAAAACCAGGACTAAAACCAGGACTAAACCAGGACTAAACCAGGACTAAACCAGGACTAAACCAGGACTGAAACAGGACTGAACCAGGACTAAAACTGGACTAAAACAGTATTAAACCAGGTCTAATCGTATCATTTAAAGCAGGGTTTTCCTGTTTCGTGTTGGTGGTTTTCAGTGTGAGATCTTTTGTTCTATATTCGTGTTTCTGTCTTTAATCTTTATTCTTTTGTCGGAGCCTCTGACTCTGGTTCATTCAGAAAAAAACATCAGGAGGAAAAATGATCGACTCTTTTTGCTCTTGTTGCTTTTTCTGCTGCTCCACCAGGGGGCAGCACTGAGCGCGTCGGGCACATGACGGTCAGCTGAGCGGAATCACCAAGAAAAACATTTTACACAGAGCAGTTTAAACATCTCTGGAGACACAGAAGAGTCATGATGAAGATCCTGCAGCGATTCAGAGTCAAAAAGAACAAATGAAGTCACAGAGTCCAACAAATCTGGGTTAATTTGGCTCAAAGTGACAAGATTTACAAAACTGTAAACTGGGTCAAACTGAATAAAACTGTAAAAAGATCAGGGACATTGTGCTTTCTCATGTCAGTGATGATCTGAGGAACTTCTGACACTGCTTTTTTTTTTTTATGTTCGTTCACAAACACGGATTTCTGTTTTTGGGCAAAACAAATGACAATTTATGCTCCTGTTTACTGTTGGCGAGGTCCTGGTCCTGGTTTTAGTCTCAGTTTAATCCTGGTTTAGTCCTGGTTTTAGTCTCAGTTTAGTCCTAGTCCTGGTTTAGTCCTGGTTTAGTCCTGGTTTTAGTCTCAGTTTAGTCCTGGTTTAGTCCTGGTTTTAGTCTCAGTTTAGTCCTAGTTTTTAGTCCTGAGTTTAGTCCTGGTTTTAGTCTCAGTTTAGTCCTGGTTTTAGTCTCAATTTAGTCCTAGTCTTTTAGTTTTTAGTCCTGGTTTTAGTCTCAGTTTAGTCCTAGTCCTAGTTTTTAGTCCTGGTTTTAGTCCTCAGTTTAGTCCTCCTTTAGTCCTAGTTTAGTCCTGGTTTTTAGTCCTCCTAGTTTAGTCCTGGTTTTAGTCTCAGTTTAGTCCTAGTTTAGTCCTGGTTTTAGTCTCAGTTTAGTCCTAGTCCTGGTTTTAGTCCTAGTCCTTTTAGTCCTGGTTTTAGTCTCAGTTTAGTCCTGGTTTTTAGTCTCTCCTAGTTTAGTCCTAGTTTTAGTCCTGGTTTTTAGTCTCAGTTTAGTCCTAGTTTAGTCCTGTTTTAGTCCTGTTTAGTCCTCTGGTTTTTAGTCCTTTTTAGTCCTCCTAGTTTAGTCCTGGTTTAGTCCTGGTTTTAGTCCTCAGTTTAGTCCTAGTCCTAGTTTAGTCCTTTTAGTCCTGGTTTTAGTCTCTAGTTTTTTAGTCCTTTAGTCCTGGTTTAGTCCTGGTTCTAGTCTCAGTTTAGTCCTAGTTTAGTCCTGGTTTTAGTCTCAGTTTAGTCCTAGTTTAGTCCTGGTTTTAGTCTCAGTTTAGTCCTGGTTTAGTCTTTTAGTCCTCCTGGTTTTAGTCTCAGTTTAGTCCTGGTTTTAGTCTCAGTTTAGACCTGGTTTTAGTCTCTGTCCTAGTTTAGTCCTGGTTTTAGTCCAGTTTAGTTTAGTCCTGGTTTAGTCTCTTTAGAGTTTTTAGTCCTGGTTTAGTCCTGGTTTAGTCTTAGTTTAGATCTTCTTTTTTGTCCGATCACTCACTGTCAGATCGTGAATTTCTATTTTTCTCACCAAACTTGTTCAGCTCAAAGTCAAAAGTGAAGATAAAGAAACGTCACATCATGTTCCTGTTTGACTAAATAAAAGAGGAACTGTGTCTGAAAATATTTAGAAGTGAAAAACCGAGATCAGGAGACGTGATTTTAGTCCATGATGTTTTCACTTCTCAACACTGAGACTCGTTTTACGCACGAACTAAACTGGAGCGAGATTTGGTTTTCAGTCTTAAACAAAACAATTACGCATAAAAAAAAAATGCATAAAAGTCCAGATGTAATCCTGTTCAATCCTGGTTTAATTTAGTCCTGGTTTAGTCCTGGTTTAGTCCTGGTGTAGTCCTGGTTTAGTCCTGGTTTAGTCCTGGTTTAGTGTCCTGGTTTTGTCCTGGTTTAGTCCTGGTTTTGAGGCGTTAAATCGTGACTTAAAACGCACAAAAGTCCAGTTTGCGTCACATAAACGTCTTTCAAAGTCACGGGTTTGCGGTTTTACGGGTCAGAAGGACCAGGACACACACGGACCTGGACCACGGACCCGGACCACGGACAACTAAACCAGGACTAAATCTAGACTACAAAGACTAAACCAGGACTACACCAGGACTAAACCAAGACTACACCAGGACTAAACCAGGACTACACCAGGACTACACCAGGACTAAACCAGGACTACACCAGGACTAAACCAGGACTACACCAGGACTAAACCAGGACTAAATCAAGACTACACCAGGACTACACCAGGACTAAATCTAGACTACAAAGACTAAACCAGGACTACACCAGGACTAAACCAGGACTAAATCTAGACTACAAAGACTAAACAGACTAAAGGACTAAACCAGGACTACACCAGGACTACAACCAAGGACTAAACCAAGACTACACCAGACTAAACCAGGACTAAACAGGACTACACCAGGACTACACCAGGACTACACCAGGTCTAAACCAGGACTAGACCAGGACTAAATCAAGACTACACCAGGACCTGGACCACGGACCCGGACCACGGACAACACGGACTACACCAGGACTAAACCAGGACTAAATCAAGACTACAAAGACTAAACCAGGACTACACCAGGACTAAACCAAGACTACACCAGGACTACACCAGGTCTAAACCAGGACTAAACCAGGACTAGACCAGGACTAAATCAAGACTACACCAGGACTACACCAGGACTAAACCAAGACTACACCAGGACCAGGACCCGGACCCGGACCCGGTACTGACCCGGTGGTGAAGTCGTGCTGGACGGACTGGAGTCGCTCCTTCAGATGCTCGAACATGACGACGGCGACGCGCGGATCCGCAGACGAGTCCGAACCGAACCGAACCGAACCTCCCCGAGCACCGACACACACACACAGAACCGAACCGAACCACGGAGCCGAGACACGGACACGGCCAAAACAAACCGACCTCCTGCCGTCTGGAAACCACGTGACGCTGCGTAATGACGGAGGAGCGGAAAGACGCGCTGTACCGCCCCCTACCGCCGCGGAGTGCGCACGAGGACACACATAAATACATAAATAAATAAATAAATATAAATAAAAAATCCATACATAAATCCATAAATGAATAAATCCATAAAAAATAATAAATCCATACATGAATCCATAAATAAATAAATATATAAATACATAAATAAAAATAATAAATAAATCCATAAATAAAAATAATAAATAAATCCATACATAAATCCATAAATAAATAATTCCATTAAAAAATTAAATAAATAAATCCATACATAAATAAATTCATAAATAAATACATCCATAAAAAAATAATAAATACATAAATACATAAATACATAAATACATAAATAAAAATAATACATAAATACATACATAAATACATAAATAAATAATTCCATAAAAATAAAATAAATAAATCCAATATTAATAATATAATCAAATTTAATATTAGAACATTTGTCCTTCTGTTTTGCTGCTTCAGGCTCCGTGTTTCTTTGTTGTGTTTGTTTTGTGTTGTTCATTACAGCTTTTGTATCTGAGGTCTGTTATTATTGTTAGTCTCCTTAATTTTCCATACATATTACTGCAGTACAACTGTGTTTCCAAACTTTAACCTTCTCCAAATCCATATTTTATTAGCTTTTTTTACTCAGGAGCCTTTTTTCCCGTCCATGCTGATAAACGTGGACGATGCAGAACGACTCCACACAAACGACCTGTCAGACCTGTAAAGTACTTTTGTTGTTTACAAAGGATAAAAATAGTTTCTTGGAGCATCACATGAAAAAGTGCTGTTGTTCTGCCACTGTAAATCTGTTACACTGTGATTTATGTTTTTATTGTTATGAAAAGTGGGGAACATATAAAGTTATGTTCTGATCATTTTCAGTCTTCAGTGTTAATTTACCACCGGACCAAATCTGCAACATCCCAGACACACGACATGTGAAGGTCTCAAACAAAAGGTCACGATTATATATCACTGCCCCATATGATCATTTTCCCCAAATATCAGATTTTTTCCTGTTACAAAAATTTAATTTGAGCCTGAGAGGTTTAACACTGACACTTTGTGAATAGTTCAGATCGTTTCATGTAAAATGTCTGAAAAATGTAAAAGAAACCCATCTTCTTTATGTTCTTCATGTTCTTCATGTTCTTCATGTTCTTCGTGTTCTTCTTCTTCTCTGAGGTCGGGTCTCGGGGGCATCTGTCTGAGCAGGGACTCCCAGACTTCCTTCACCCCAGACACTTCCTCCAGCTCCTCCAGTGGGACCTGAGGTGTTCCCAGTCCAGTCCAGAGACATCGTCCCTCCAGTGTGTCCTGGGTCTGGAGGAGCAGCGGCTCTACTCCGAGCTCCTCACTCTGTCTCTGAGGGAGACGCCCGGACGCCCTGACGAGGAAACTCATCTGTGTCTCTTGTGTCGTGGATCTGGTCCTTCGGGTCATGACCAGAGCTCATGACCAGAGGTGAGGGGAGGAACAGAGACTGACGCTAAATCCAGACTCAGATCCTCTTCACCACAACGACCGATACAGCGACCGCATCACTGCCCACGCTGCACCTGTCCACCTGTCAGTCTGCCCACGCTGCACCTGTCCACCTGTCAGTCTGCCCACGCTGCACCTGTCCACCTGTCAGTCTGCCCACGCTGCACCTGTCCACCTGTCAGTCTGCCCACGCTGCACCTTTTTCTCACTTCTTTTTGGGCAAATGTTTTGTTGCTGTGATTTCACTGATGTCACATGATCCACTGTAAAGAACCTGTCACACGTGACCAAAATAAAACTAAAAATAAATAAAATTAATAAATTTGTCAAAAACAGAGACACTGGGACATTTCTTGTATAAATTGGGACAAATCTGTGGTTTTGTATAAATCTGTGGGACAGAGACACAGACTCAGACCTGGGACTGTCCCGGGTCATTCAGGTCAGTCTGGTCAGTCTGGTCACTCGGGTCAATTGGGTCAGTCGGGTCATTCAGGTCAGTCTGGTCACTCGTGTCACTCGGGTCAGTCTGGTGAGTCTGGTCACTCGTGTCACTCGGGTCAGTTGGGTCAGTCGGGTCACTCGTGTCACTCGGTCAGTCTGGTCACTCGGGTCAGTCGGTCAGTCTCGTTGTGAATCCCTCCAGACTCTGAGCGTCTCCGTCATGAACCCAAAAGAACCGAACGTCCCCCGGCTGGTGCGCATGCGCAAACGACCGGGCTAATTGATATGCAAAAGCTGCAGCCGGGCACGTGACGCTCGCGGAGACGTAGGGCCGCTCACGTGACCCGGTGTCTGGGCTCTGGTCCTGATGCAGGTGCGCGCCGCATCCTCCGCGCTCCGCTCCGTCTGAGCCGCGCGCAGAGGACACACACGCGCACGGGACGCACGGGACGCACGGTGACGGGACGCACGGACCGGAGCCTCCCCCGCGCACACGGACACGCGCGTGCTCGTCACACCGGAGCGTTTCCTCCGAGCTGCGCTTTAGCCGTAGCTCCTGTTAGCGCCATTGTACCAGAGCGCGGCGGATCACGCGGCGCGAGGCGGTTTTTACTCGGTTTTTATTTTCATTTCAGCTCGAGACCAACGTGAAACCGACTGCACGGCTCCGGCTCCGTCCACGCGCGGCTCCGGCTCCGTCCACGCGCGGCTCCGTCCACGCGCGGCTCCGGCTCTGTCCGCTTCACCTGGACTCGGGAAACATGAGCGCGGAGCGGCCCAAGCGCATCCGCATCAAGAAGAGATATGTGAGTATGAACAGAGCCCACGAGCCCAAACATGACACGAGCCCAAACATGACACGAGCCCAAACATGACACGAGCCCAAACATGACACGAGCGCACGGACCAGATTCACAAAATATAAAAACCTGGGACGTCCCTGGTTTGGGTCTAAGAATAAAACTGTGAGTCCAGCGCGTAATTAAGGAAAAATGTTACACGCTGCACGAACGTGACTCAGTCTAGTCACATTTTTTGTGTGTTTTGGTCGTTTTTAATCAGATTTTTTGTATTTCACCAAAAAAATGACAATGTATGTGTTAGAAATCATCCTGGTTTAGTCCTGGTTTAGATCAGATTGTTCAAAAATAGAGACACTGGGACATTTCTTATACAAAACTGGGACAAATCAGTGTCCATCCATCCATCCATTTTTCGTTCCGCTTATCTGGGGTCGGGTCTCAGGGGCATCAGTCTAAGCAGGGACTCCCAGACTTCCCTCACCCCAGACACTTCCTCCAGCTCCTCCAGGGGAACCCCGAGGTGTTCCCAGGCCAGTCCAGAGACATAGTCCCTCCAGTGTGTCCTGGGTCTTCCCCGGGGCCTCCTCCTGGTGGGACATGAACACCTCCTGAGGGAGACGTCCAGGAGGCATCCGGAACAGATGCCCGAGCCTCAACTGGCTCCTCTCGACGTGGAGGAGCAGCGGCTCTACTCCGAGCTCCTCCCGTGTGACTGAGCTCCTCACTCTGTCTCTAAGGGAGACGCCCAGACGCCCTGCGGAGGAAACTCATTTCAAGCGCTTGTATCCGCGATCTCGTCCTTTCGGTCTCTACCCAGAGCTCATGACCAGAGGTGAGAGGAGGAACGAAGACTGACCGGTAAATCGAGAGCTTCGCCTTTCGACTCAGCTCCTCTTCACCACAACGACCGATACAGCGACCGCATCACTGCAGACGCTGCACCTGTCCACCTGTCAATCTCACGCTGCACCTGTCCACCTGTCAGTCTCACGCTCCGTCCTCCCCTCACTCGAGAACAAGACCCCGAGATACAAATCAGTGTTTTTTGTGTAAATCTGTGGGACAGAGACACAAAATTCAACACTGGATCTGTCCCGGAGACACGGACGTGTGGACGCCTCGACATGAATCAGACTAAAACACTCAGGTCAAATCCTCCATTTAAGTAAATGTGACCAGGACCAGCTCCAGTCGGGCTCCTGCGCCGAGACTGAAGGACGAGGCCGAAGTGAAACAAGACTGTCCTTGGGAAGATATTTCCCAAGATATTTCTTTTTATACAAGAAATGTATAGAGAGTAAAGAGAAACATTAAAAAAAAATAATAATAAAAAACCTAAAAAATCTGCTTAAAAACAACCAAAACACAAATAAAATGTGACTAGACTGACTCATGTTCATCAGTGTTGAAGTCAAGACTGAACTAATCGAGATCAAGACCAGTCGAGACCACAGGGTCCCGAGACCAGGACCAGACCAAGACCTCTGAGCGTCGAGTCCGAGACAAGACCAAGACTTTTAAAGACCGAAACCCAAGACAAGACCAAGACCACGGCCCATCCAGACCAAACTGAGACCAAATCTTTGTCATTTTCAACATTTATTTGTATTTTACAGTTATTTTGGCACAAATATATCAATGTTTTCATCAATTTATCTCTAATTTATCTCCTCGAGACCGAGACAAGACCAAGTCCAAACACGGTGGAGTCTGAGATGAGACCAAGACCATAAAAAAACCGTCTCGAGGCCAATATCAAGACCAAGGCCAGTGTCGAGTACAACGACACTCGTTTCTGCAGAACAGTTTTCCTTTATTCCACATTCGTTTCACAGTTTAATTCTGACCAAACACCAAAAAACTGGAGACGTCCCAGTTTTTTATTTTGAAATTGTGGTCAGTGTCAGTAAAGACGTTTTTCCACACACGGATCAACACCATAAAATAAAATAATAAAATAGAACCACACAGTATCTCCTCTGTGTGAAGTTCCGTTTGTCCTGCTGTTTCTCCCAACGCCGACTTCACTGGTTTTATTTTTCTTTAAATTCAAACATCTAATTTTTCCTGAATATTTCAAACTGGATTAAATTCTGTTCAGATCCTCTTAAGGTTCGTTCACACCAAAGCGTCAAATCGTCCAGTTTCTACAACTAGAGCGTCCTGCGTTTTTGTGGCGCGTCTTCAGCGTCAGCGCGGCGCGAATCTGGCGTCGACG